TATGAAAAATATAGAAATAAATGTTTGAACTGCTTCAGAATAAAATCTCTAACTCTATGATTATGTATACTCATTATACACCATGCATCTGAATAATTCATAAAGTAAAATTTACTTGAATTTTTCTTTTATACAATGCGAAATCCAATTGCTTATATGTCTACTGAAGCACAATTTATGCATGAAATTATTAAAAGAATGACTGTATAGATAAACATAGAAAATAATATTTAATAGCAAAATAAAATATTTCTGTGCTAGTACAACTACTACAAAATGATAGTAATAATAATTTAGAATTGCACAAAGTAATTTTCCTTTTTGAAACATTTTCTTTTACTGAATATATTTTGAGATTATGACACTTACGAATTTTAAAGAGTTAAATACATATAGTGATTGCACATGCTGTAAATCCTTCATTGGACCTTTTTAAAGCATATTAAACATGATTATTAACTATTAATAGTAACTATTAGCCATTAATCATGTTTAACTACTAAGCATTCTGGATACCCTCGAAAATTGCAAATTAATCGCAATTATTCTATATAATAGAAATTTTAGAAAGTGAAGAAGTTAGATACTCACGTTAGTTGTCTTTTAGGCTTTGGAGGTAGAGGTTTTTCTACTATTGGCTGACTTCTTCTTGTGCTTGTGGTTCTTTGAGGAGGAAGCATCTCACTTTCTTCGGGTGATTTTATTTCTGCTATGCATATATGAAACGTAATTCTTACAAAAGTGATATTTAATATATCAAAAATTAATAACGTTCGAAATGATATTTTAAACAGTAATTTATAACAGTAACTATACTGTACTACATTATTTGTAACAGTAACTATAAATGAACTACTCTATATGAGTTGCGAGGTCCGATAGGGTTACTCATTTGTAAGTTTACGATTGAGTAAAATGAGAAAGGAAGAAGATAATAAAAAAAATATAATTTCATGATAATATAGATGCATACTTATTTGAGGAGTTCTTTTCCCAGGCACTTTGACTTTAAATCCAGTAGTTGGAGTTTTTGGTGACTTAACAGATTTTGTAGGCACAGATACAGGAGACGCAGGTGGTGGTTCTGCAGCTCTTCTGCCAGGTGTACTTTTCTTATGTATAAAGCTTTTCCTGGCTGGAGTTGATCCTACAGATCCCTATGATAAGGTACCAATTAGTATCAAGATATGTTAACAGGACAGTTGGGAACTGTAGTTCCCAACATGGGCGAATCTCACGGCCACCCCAAATATTTTTATAAACAATAAATAAAATTACATACTCTCATTCTCTTCGCATCACGAATAATTTCTTTCTCAGGATCATCAATACCGATTGGTTCTTTGAAGAACGTAAAATTATCAACAGTCAACTCTTTCGTGTTAACTGTAAAAAAAAAACAAGAGTGAGATTGTTATAATTGTTCTTAGATCACGTTATCGATAATGTATCCATCGTAAATCATACTTACGAAATTCTGCGACTTCTCTAAAACTTCTCACTTTCTTTCCCTTTGGTGTATAATAATATATATCAGCCATTCTTTTGAGGGTTGAATCAGTACTTGCTCTAAATACTAACTCTCGCTTCCAACCATATTTAAAAGGTTCTTTGAATGCAGGATTTGTCATATCAATAGCTACTTTTTGTTTTGATGTACTTCCTGGACTGGCACCACGAGTTAGACGACCTTTAGATCTCTGCGATGCTGCTGGACTACTGGTAGCCGATGAATTTGTTGACTTTGTTGAAGTTTCTTCAGTTCTTTGTAAATCTGTTTCAGATTCCATAGTATTTGGTAAACCGATCGAATCTGTTTCAGATTTATCAGACTCTTTTTCCTTCTTTATTTTATCTATATCTAATGTATGCTCCAAATCGTAACTATGCATCCTATTGTCATCTGAATCTTCATCGTTTCTTCCATCAAAATTTTTCCGTATACTATATTTAAACCGTTTTGCCAATTGTGCTTCTGCTACCTCAGCTTCAGCTGTAATAAGTTACATGAACGTGTAACATTTCATATTATTATTATTAAAATATTTAAATTGCATATAACTGAACACATGTTTAAAAATAGTAACTATTGAATTCTCAAAATAGATATATTCTTATTGATATTGTTTATCTAACAAAATTGATTTTTCTACCTCAAGAATTATTTAGTTAACATAAACTAAAAATGCAATTAGTTCATAATCAGGATATATGAACATATATAAATTCATTCTTTATAAAAAAATGTAAACAAGCTTAAAGAATATATTAGGATTAACATAATGCTTGATGATGAATCTACGCATAGAACATGGTATAACAACAATAGCCAATACCGATCAGTTTTCTCAGAACATGACTTCCTGGTTCCATTTCGTTATCTCCCTGCGTATCGAATCCATTGAATTCCATAGACTCCTCAGAGCTAACATTATCAGGTTCCGAAAGTTTCCGCTTGCGTCCTTTTGTACTTGTATCGCTTTCTGGAGTACTAGTCGAATTGGCCTTAAATTTCCGTAATTTTCTTCTAGCGACTAGTATCGGACTCGTCTTTGGTGAAGCCTTAATATCACCGTTCACCTCCTGACATTCCATTTTACCAGTTACTTCCACTTTTATTTGCATCTCTGGTAACTCCGGTATTTCAGTCATTTCTAGGTTAGGAGTCTCGCGCGCCTCGTCGGCGTTCCCGCCATTCACGTTGGCCCCGTCCATCGTGAGGCCCCTTCGGGTACGAACCCTTATTCTACGTACTTCGACGAATGCCGCGTGAAGAACGTTAATCTTACGTTACCCGACACTTCGCCTAAACTCCATTCAACGTATCTTCGCATAAGCACCCGTGCTACAGTCCCCTTGCGTCTGAGTACCACGATCCCGCGCTCATCTGTCCGCGAATGCGCATAACACACGCGCAGGCACCACTACGCGCTATTTACACAACCGCCAGGTTTTCTCTCGATAGGATAGGTTTTTGGATTGCCTGTCATTACTACCGCACTACCGCATCACGCGCATATCTTGAGATTAATAAAGGAACTGTAGAACAGTAAAAATTATTTATCTCCCCATAAATGTGATTCGGATATAGCCTCCAACTTAAAAACGACAACAACTCTGGAGAGACACGAAGCGTCTGTAAAACACGCAACCGGAAATGGCCGAAAAAATATGTTAAAGGCTCATCTCCATCAAAATGGCGTATCGCATGTAACGCGTTGAAATAATTAACAAGATTCACAAATGATATTATTATTTATTCCATTAATATGTAAAACAACTTATAAATATCGTAATAAAACAGTTAATAATTTTCTAATGTTAATATATAACATATATGTAGTACATAAAATAGACGACGCTGCAGATTTTTAATAATAATTAATATCACACGAGTGAAAGACTTATATGCAGTGTTTAACAATTTTGATTAATTTAATAGAATTTACACAGAAAGTACATTATTGCTTCGCAATGTTATGTACTTTCGAATTTCTGTTTCTGTGTAAACGCTGCCTTTACAGTACACAATAGCAGAGGTGCTCAATTTTGGGAACTTATCTACGGTGGATTATTATGTACGTATGTGTAGGTGAGCCATGGCCAAATGTGCTGCTGTGAGAACAACCGTGTGTACACACATGCTATACTTCTGCAACTTCGATCTCGCACACTAAACCAAGGTAAAGAAGCAGAATAGGTCCGGTGACACACAGTGAAAATAGTTTAGAATTGACAGTTCCGTTTCATTACTGTTGGAATTGCTAAACAGAGAAAGTATTAATTTATAATGACATCCAGTTAAAAAGAATTTACATCTCACACGATTCTGTATACAGGCAAGTGCAGAGCAAATCTTCGTGTCTATCTTGTCACTTAATTTGAAATACCATGTATGTATTCACGACTTTATAAGGACGGTGTTCCGATAATTAGTATTTGCTCTTAAGTAACAATCATTCTCTATTGTAAAATCTTCCTTTGTCGTCGGTTGTGTATTAAAACTCGTTATCAATTGTACCATGATAAATAAGATACACATCAGATAAACCATACTAGCTCCATTAAAAAAAAAAACGGAACGTTATAAAGTATTTTGATTACTTTACAGAATATACGCATCATACCGAAAACAAATTATTGATTCTGTTTTTCTATAACTGATGTGACACTAATTATTGATATAATATTTTATTATTTTCGAAATATGTTTATAACAATAATGTTAACATAATAATTTTGATACGTGTATAACATTTTTTTTTTAAGAAAATATTAAAATGATTCAATATTTAAAATTTATTACATGATAAAGTTCTGATATTATTAACTTTCATGTAACTTCATTGATATTGTAAATATGAATATATATATGAATCTCAATTGTTCTATGTAATACACAGGTCCAAGCGCATCCTTCAAATGGAGCGTGTTCTGAAAGCTGTACCAGCAGACTTAAGAGTAAAAATGGAGGCCCTTGTGCATGATTTAACTTTGGCATTAGAAGAAAGTAGCAATGGTGTAAATGGCAGACGCCGTTGGGGTATTAGAAGAAGGGCTCGTTCCACAGGAAATATTCGTAAGTTTTTGAGGGAGAAATATTAATTTCGTTTGAAGAAGTTATCTATTTATGTTGACTTTATATAAACATATGTTCAATAAAGATTGTTATTGAAGCCAAACATCTCTGTGCTAATCACACTTGTATGAAATCAGTTCCAGTCTACTTCTAGAAGACACACATGGGATTGTTATCAAGATTGTGTTTATAGAAACCATATATCATTACACAAAGAAGTCAAACTTTATCTATATCTTTGAAAAGTAATTTTTGAAACGTGACAAATAATGAGAAACTTTTTTTTAAAATAATCTTTAAGCAATTAGTTTTCATTTCAGCATCGCTGAACATGAACAAACACTCAGATGACAGTTCATCTTCCATTTGTGACATCCATATACCAAAAAGTACCACAGCATCCAAATATCAGTCGGACAGCGATGATACAAATCAAACAAAACGATTCGCACGTTTTTCAAATTTGAACAATGTTAGCAACATCGAAAGCGATTCTGTTAATGAAAATTTTGTACCAAGAGGTAATCCAAGACGTAAAAGAAAATTTAAGAGAATGGCTATAGATTCAGATTGTAATCCATCAACATCTCAAACAGTTGCAATTATGTCAACCACGCTTGGAGATAAAAAGAGAATCCTAAGAGGGGATTGTAAAAATAGATACGGAACAATATGGTAATGTATATCACGTATATTAAATGATAAACAAAGGAACAACATTTTGTATGTTGAGGAAAGTTTTTTTTTTAGGTGTGGGAAACGTAAAAGATCATGCAGGGAACGTTCTACAGATTGCGAGATGAGATCATTAAAACCGAACCGAACTTCAAAATCAAGAAATCGTATTAAAATGCAAACGGAAGATACTATAGATTGCTCTAGGATATCAAGTTCAAGCATTTCATCTAGCGATTCAGAGGCTGGGTTAATTACAAATGATGAAGATCGTGAAGGTATTTATTTACCTAGCTTTAGACGATGTTTTTAAACTATAGTTAACTCCTTTGACTTTAGGTGATGATGAGCAGTCAGACTGGATTGGAGAATCTAGTTGGTGGGATGATGGTGAGAGCGCTAGTGAAGACAAAGTTACAACGGATGCAGCTTTTCAAATGTTGTTACATGGAAATTTTGAACACGTAACAGATAAAGGAAGAAAAAGTTATAGGCAAAGAATTCAGAAAATTCGAGAGGGTCTTAGCGGGAGAGAGATCCGTGCTGGTCGTCGTCACGTTGATAACAAGCCTGGATATTCGATTATCACATCAGCCAACGAAAAAGTGTCCAGATTTTTACAAGATCCTACTCAAAGCGAACTGAAGTTACATCCTATGCGGCAACCGGAGCGAGAAAAACTTCGCAGACTGGCAAATTTATACAGTCTAAGTTTAAAAGGCGATTTAGGATGTCCAATTTTATACAAAACTCGACATACCACGCAAGCCATTTGCATAGATCAAGTTCCATTAAAACGATTTTCGGAATATAAAAGATTGAGAAGAACTCCACCAAATACACCAAATCAAGAACCCAGTCACAATCAGGAATATCAAATTTGTAGTACAAGCTTCGGCTCACAAGTAATAAGCCCTACATCAAATTTAGATTCGGTACAAACTTTACCAAAATTATCACACGTGGAATGGGATTCGAATAGTATGGATGTAGAAATTCATGGGAAACAAAAATTTCACGATTACGGGCATTCAAAATCAAGTTAAACTAAAGAAAATTCTTGTTTTTTTTTCTAAAATAAATTATTTATATGTATTTACAAATATGTTTTCTGCATAATATTTTCTTCAAATGAAGATTATATAATTGGAAGCATGTAGCTAAGCCATGTAAAAAAATTACAAACATTCAGGATACATTGTTTGTATTAGATTCTTTTTAAATATATTTAACAGAACAAAATACTAAATCCCATGTATTCCATCAGTTACGTACTCATGCATTTCACGGCATATTATTTCAATCATTTATTATCATTTTATTTAATTATAAAGTCTATTTAATATATGTTACATAAAGTGTTAATATTAAAATTTATTCGAACCAATACATGTAAATATTATATAACAAATGATCGTATCATGAATTCTAAATGAAAATTTATTTCCTTGTTAATTTTTATTCGGTGTATAGTTTTATTTCATCTCCAAGACAAAATTATATAGTAGTGGAATATCCAAATTACAATACATGCTAACCTAATATATATATTTAACTTAATTTATGAACAGTTTATATATTCGATCTTCAAAATTATCTACCTTCGCCCAATTTTTTATTAGCAGCTAATACATTTTCGTTAGCAATCATTTGGAATTCTTGAAACCGTTGGGACACTCTTTGGTTCATCTTCAAGTATTTTTCCATACAATTGAGGGCGCACTTTTCTTCCTTCGTTTTTATATCCCGTCCGGTAAAATCATTTATACAATCGATAAAACAAATTTCTGATAGTTTGTTATAGGACGTCAGGAAGTCTCGAAACTGAAGTACAAAAATTTCAGTCATTCGTAGCTTTTATTATTAACGATTGAGTCAATTATTTTTTAACAAGATTTAACATCTCATGATCTGCCATGCATATTTTACGTTCGTAAATGCATTATTCATTCATAAAAATCTGAGTCTGCCTTTTTATAAGTAATACTCGATGATAACGGTAAAAATACATACGGCTTTAATCTGTTCGGAATCCACATTTGTAGGAACCTGCATTGTCATTACAATTAATAATTTACTTTATGATATTTATGTTTAAGCACTAGTTACCGATGTATGTACCTCGCAAAACTACGAAACTTTGACGCGAATAATTTCTAGGTTAAAGTAAATCTACTGCTTGTGTAGCACGTGCATATTTGCTGTATTGTGTACGCATGTACAAAAACGTTTTTGTAGAAGAGAAACTTCCGTTATAACGTTTCAAGCATTTTATACGATGTACCGAATAGAAAGCGATTGGATAGTTTGTATATTTACATATATAATGAGTTATAATACATAAATAGTATTAAATATCATGAAAGAATAATTTTTAGTTTGTAGAAAACCTAAACAAGGATAAAGTGTTAACTAAATTTTCTATCTAAGCTCATAGTAACTACATCATAATTTAATAAATAAAAATATTTCTTGTTTAATATAGACACTAACGAATTTTTAAACTGGTGTTTGAATATCGCTCCTAACCTCTTGTTATCAGTATCCGATGTTCTGGAGCTATGTTTACGGCGCACTACTTCTGCACGTATGCGCATGGAAATTCATTGAAAACCCACCAGAGTTTCGCCTCTGTAAAAGTTCTCTATGCTTTCAAATCAGTCAAACAAGTGGCAAATTACGGTTTTCTCTTGTAACATCTGATAGGTTTTATAAATGATCAAAATGCAAATCAGAAATTACTTTAATAACAGTTCACGATAGTATGTTCAAAAGTTTCTCATTTTACATACAATTGCAATAAATACGTACGTCTTTCGGAACACGCGTTATAACGTTTATTATGCAATTTTTGAAAATGGATCCGTCTAACAATGAGAGACCAAGACGTGAAATAATTTTATACTTAATCTTTAAATAGTACTGAAGTGTCGATCTCCACGTTGTGTTGATAAAAAAAATGGTAAAATTTATTCGATGCTTGTACGATTAAATTTCTCACATCTGTAAAATACTTCAGTAAAAACATTAGAATTAATAAGGTATTTGGAAAAACAATGTAAAACGAGAACCGATAATTCGTCCCACAGGTTGTTATAATATACGAAAGTAGGAACCATTTATTATTACAATACGCAAATTAGCCGTGAATGAGAATAGAGGACAAAGCTAGTAGAAATTGAGCAGATGTTTCCTGTTGGCAGTTGACCGCGGTGCATGAACCATAGTGGGCAGAGTCTTTATTTCGGTTACATCGAAGCGTTCATGTTTCATTTCGGAGGTAAGCAGTAAATAAATACTTTCATTTTGTTTTACTTCATTACATAATTTTTCACCAACCGCTCGGTGTCTTTGTGATTTCCATTAAATAATGTTTCAACACGCGTACACGAACGTGTATTCGATGTTCCGTGCGTGAAATATACGTAATTGTTGGTTACTGTAACGATGAAAAAAACAAGCAACGAACGAAAATTTTTGTCGAAGCAATTTCAGTCGTTTCAAACACATTTCAGTATGCAACATCGTCCGAAACTTTGTGACATAGATCACGATCGATCAGAATTTTCTTTCGTTTCCGTCATGTTCGTATAAACACATCGATTTATTTTTGTAACATAAAATTTCAGTGAAATTTCACAAAACTTTCAAATGCTGCCCGCAAAATTCTTCTCCTTCTTATTGGTTATGAACCATAACGGTTTTCTCACGCTGTTGCTGTTATGTTTACTAACATTTTTAACGGCAATACTACACGCATCGCAGATCAATCGATAAAGTCCAAAGTAAGTGCTTCACGTTATAAATTATCATTTGAAATATTGTGAACGACGTGAAATTTTGAATATCGGTTATGTGTGTCTCCTCTGCGCTACCATGAGTAAACGATTGCAGCAACGAACACTGTTTTCTATAGATGGCGTTCTCTTCCCATTTTTCACGGTTATTTATCTCTTACGATTTATTTGCAACGTTGCCCTTACATATTACTCATTGCTAAACTTAACATTACGTAAAAAAAAAATTAATAAACAACTATTCATTTTTTCGCGATCCAACAATTATTAATCGAAAGATTCGGAAAGTCTTTACGTTGTAAAAATTGTCGTTTCAGAATATCGATTAAAGATCACTACGCGATTCAAGTTACCATAATCTTCGCGAAGATGCATCGCGATAATCGTGGTATTCCTACCATCGACGGAGCATCGAATTGCACGCTGGGTAAAAGACCGCCATCGGCAAAATCGCAGAGAGGGCAAACCGCAAAAATCCTTGGAAAAAACCGAACTTTGTATACTCAAAGGAGAAACGGCTCGTGCAATTTGCCAGCGAAAGAACGAAGCGGCGGGAGCGCGTCTCATCGAAAGCATTTTACAGAGGAGAAAAGAATCGATCCGAAGGATCGAACGAAGTCCAGAGACAAATGTTCTAATGATACGGATTACGACGACGCGATCGCTGCTTTGCACAGAGAGATAGAGGACTGGAAAATCAGCGAAGCTTTGACCTCCAGAACCGAGGAGAGATTCACTGGAACCCCGAGCGAGCATCGTACCTTCAGCTACGGTATTACAAATGGAACATAAACGCGAGATAATCTCGTTCATTTCGCTTCGTTGATTATGTTCTAATATATATATATTTTTTATTATTCGCAGTAGCTTCCGGCGAAACCACAAAGAGGCAGCGAAGTCCCAATAATCCTCTTAAATCCGTCAGGACGTACATTGACTTCCCCGCTGTAACGTGAGTACGATGCTGTTTTTTTTTCTTCTTCTGGCGTAGGATTAGAGCTACAGTCGAGTCCAAGAAAGAACCATCCCCCCCCCCCCCC